GTTTAAAATATTGAGCATTCTAAATTTGTGTGTATGGTTACCTTTTAATATTTTCATCTTACTCACTAATGTCTCCTTATGTTTAAAGGAATCCTTTCTGTCTGTGCTATTTTATACCACAAATTTTATTTTCCATCTTTTCCTTACAATATTTCCTCCTAAAGAAATTGCTGTCACCTATATTTTTCCTAGTGTTAGTAATTGTTTTAATTTAGTTTTCTCTCTACTTAAGAGTTTTGTCTTTTGGGACTGGTATTAATTCAAAGTTATCAATTATAATTAAAATCTGATTGTAAACCAGATGCTGTAGTTAAGATACTCTTGGTTTATCCAAGCACACTCTTCAGTTTACTTACCTTGTTATGAAATGTCTCCTCATGTTATGTTTAAATAAATTAATCATTATTTAATATTTGAAGAGAGTGATGTGCAGTGTGTATAGTTCATGGCTTTGTTAAATTAAGTTCTCCATTGTTTATTTGCTTATAAATCCTCCTTGGGTCTTTAGATTTCATAAAGATTATTGTGAAGAGAATATTCTTCATAAGAAAATATAGCCCATTTCTTTTCATTCTGTGGTTATACCTTGACCTAATGTTTTTACTTGTGTTTACTTTTGTGCCTTATTAGGATTTGCTGAAGGTGGTGGTATGTAGGCTGAATTAACAAAGAGTGGCAAAGTTTATTAAGGTTTATTGATTATAGAATAGTTTTTCTAGGTGGTTAGAAAGCAACATCAAGTCCTTGGAGTTTTAGGCTGCTACTAGTAGTACTATAGTGAAGAATTCTGTTACTAAATTTTATGGTTAAGCATGGTGGGCTATCTAATCCCAGTTTGAGTCTCAGCGGTCATGCCTTCAGATTTGTTAAAGTTATTTGCATACATGATTTTTATTTTTTTCAATAGGTTTTTCATTTAGATAAAATTTAAATTCATCTTACATATTTTCAAAAACAATTTTTACACCAGTGTTGATTGATTTGGATGAATCATATGACTGTGGTGGTTGTCTTGAAATTTACTAACCCTAAATTTTGTTGCATGACTTATTCAAACTTTTGTTTATTGCTTAATTTTTGTCACTGCTGTTTTCCATGGGCAGGTGGCTAAGCAAGATTTTATGAGCCACCAAAAACCGTCCTGATATCCACTCTATATTTCTCCTTTATTTCTGAGGGTTAACTTTGCTGTGTTCTTTCTTGAACATTTTGCTCTTTTAGCCTGTGAAAACCACATCTCTCTTACGGCGTGTAAGATTCTGCTCAGCAGTCTGTTATCAGTTTACTAGAACAGCATTAAGTGGTTTTTTTACTCCTTTTTCTTGCTCCTTTGAGGATCATCTCTTTGTATTTAACCTTTGAGAGTTGATTATAATATATCTTGGAATAACCTTGATTTATTTGACTCTGATCGGATCCCTTTGACCTTTATGTACTTGTACAGCATTATTATTTAGGGGTTGGGAATATTTCTGTTACTATTTATGTATATGCTTTCTACACCTTTGGCATTCTTAATATCCTCTTCAGTCCAGATAACACCAATATTTGCTTTTTAGAAATGGTCGTCCCCATTGTTTCTGTAAGCTTTCTTCATTTTTTCCCCTTTTTTCTTCTTCCAACTATGTGTTTTTGGTTAGACTTGTTGGGTGCTTACTGATTCTTCTGTTTGGTCTTATTGGTGCTTGTTACTATGGTTTTTATTTCAGTTGATGTAGCTTTTAGCTCAAGGGTTTTTATTCTATTTTTAGTTCAATCTTTGTTTTTTTCTCTGATAAAATACTGAATTGTTTCTCTGTGTTTTCTTGACAGTCATTGAGTTTCCTTAAAATGCCTATTTTAAATTCTCTGAGAATCTATGTACAGTTTGCTTAATGATCAGTTATTGACTCCTTATTTTGTCTCTTACGTGTGCTCATTTTCCCTATAAGTTATTAATGCATGTTGTCATCAACAATGTCTGTACAAACCTGATTTTATTTATTCTCCTCCTAAAAGTTCTAAGCAGGCTGCTTAGTTTCTCTGAGTCTTTGATAAGTGCATTAAATGTTACCCAGAGTTTAAGTTTGCTACAAGTTTACAGTGGGCTCATTGTCACTGTTTTAGTTCTAGAGGATACTCCAGCTGAAGGTGGTCATATATCCACAGTTGATGTGTTTTTCAGGATGGAATGGTAGGGTGCCCAAAAGACAGTAGCTGATTCTTCACATTTTTGTCTAGAAACAGGGTGAGTCCATACATAGTCTGGACTACATACTAGGCTACAGTCTAAACTCACATGATTCTGCCTGATAATGGGCCTCACAATAGAGAGACTGGACTAGACTCTTGGGCAACTGAACAATTGCTTACCTCTTTTCCCCTCAAACTTACAATAACTCCCTCAATATAGTGCTGTCTATGGTTGGGTGAGTGATAGGACTAGGGTCTCATAGCTATCAGTGCCACCACTCTGGTTTGCCCCAGAGCCTGCTAAGAACTGTGCAGCACAGAGCAGGGCCAAGGCCACTGCTGCTATGGGGTACCTGAAGCTTGAGACCACTGCACAGAGGCAGGGGCAATTTTGACCACAATGCATGTGTGTCTCACTGAGGCCTCAGGTATTTGCCCAGTACCTGGATAGGCCTAGAAGCTCTGTCTGTGGGCATTGACTTGGATTCAGGAACTGTTGGACCTTCCCAGTGTTTGGTTTCCCTGAGTACTGAGTTTAAGGGAAAGTCTGGTGCTTTCTTTCCTCTCTTATTCTTTAATAGGTGGAACATCTCTGCACACTGTTCTTTCTGAGAATATAGAGGACTGTTGGAGGCAGTCTTTTAAGTGCCAGGCTAGTGGGGGCCAAGGTTCTTTATGTAGGAGCTTCCTGGGATTCTGCAGGACTTGGATCCTATATTTCATGCAAGGCCTTGTACAGAGTTCCAACTATGAGATCTGGACTTAATTCCCTTTTCTTCTGTCAGTTGGGGGGGGGGGGAGTCTTTCTGCACACTGCAGTGCTTGAAGTTTAGGAAGCTCTTTCTTTTTCTTTCTTCAGTATTTTTTTATTAGTATACTAAATCCAGATACTGTGATCTTGACCTGATTTCCTTGGCTCTTAGGAAGGTAGTATTATGCCAGAATAACTGTTCAAATTTATCTTTTTGTTAGAGACATTATACTACCTCCATGTGCTCCATTTCAATGTGCAAATGTGTTAAATTGAAAGGTAGTTAGTAAGACATTTAGCAAATTTAGTATGATTTCAAGGATCTAAGGGAGCTGAATAGGTTAAACATTCTTTTTAAAAATTAGGTAATTCTAAGGTATTAGTTAGCAACTCTTAATACCTAGAAGCTAGGTTCTATGCTAAAACACAATTAAAGCACTATTTCCGTGACTCTTACAAGGTTTTTTTTTTTTTTTTTTTTTTTTTTTTTTTTTTTTTTTTTTTGGCTTTCCAGGTAGGGACTTATACCACTGAGCTGAGCCCCTGGCTCAAAGTTCAGTTTTAAAAAGTTCATTATTTTCAAAATATAAATTCTGTTCATTTCTCTTTCCTGAAATCATGAAATTCTATATTTGCTAGATATTTCTTCTTATTTTGTTCACATTATTTTATGTTGTTCTTTCTTAATACTAACCATAATGGAATAAGCATGTAAAATCTGTGATGACTCCCACTTTTTGTTTAATATGAATATGTAAACATCTAAAGACTTATTTGAAAACTATCAATACTATATTTCTACCCAGGTTTGGCAAAGTATTATCTAACTTAACAAGGGCTCTGTATACACTGTCATGAAAATCCATAAAGAATAGCAGAAAATCTGGCTAAATTTTCATAAAAATTTCTGTGTGGAATTGAAGTTTATTATACTCAGAGAAGAATAATTGCTCTTGAAATACAAAAGCTTTCCCAAAAATGCTGTATTAAGGTTCTTAAATTGCTCCACAAGTATGATTTTATGTGACTTGTATGAAATGTTGGTGAAACTGCAAAACCAAACAACTTGTGCTCTGTTTCATAGAATGATTTGTCAAATGCTTGGAGGATGCAGGATGAAAATGATCACTGCCTTATAGTCTACGTATTTGTAAAATACTTACAGAATGTCCATGGTGACTAAAAACTATGTTTATTAAAGATCAAGGTAGACACACTACTGATCCATTTTTAAAAGAGCTCCCCCAAAATAAAGAAGTTAAATTAGGAAAACAGGCTTGGCTGGAGGTGGGGTGTGACAGGAATTTGGAGACATCTCCAATTTGGACTGAACTTGTGTGTGTGTGTTTTTTTTTTTTTTTTTTAATTTTGCTGCACCAGGTCAGTACTAGTAACCTAAACAGGTCCAGAGAAGAAAGACCTGGTAAATTATGGCTCAGCAGGGTGCGCTCCTCATTCCTGCTCACAGGGCCTTGTAGATACATAGCAGTGGTCATCAAGCTGTCTTTATGAATGATGGGATTAAAAACCTTATAATCTGACAACTCCAGACACTCCCACAGTTTTATCTCAGTTTTTCATTCCATCTGTGCTTTTGTTCAGAAACTTTTATAAAAGGAGTACTTTAATTTGTTTCTACTCCCTCTAACTTCCTGTCAAAAGTATTTATAACAAAAGGAGTATTCCAAAGCTGGGCGGCAAGCAGTCAGAAGGAGGATTCATTTCCAAGCCAAGATCATCAATCCCTAGAAAATTTGAAATAAAGCCTTACTTGGGACAGTAAGGTTACAGGACTACAATTATAAGGGTGGAATTTCTTAGGCAAATTATAACCTTGGATCATCTGACTTTTTATGAACCCCTGTTACGGTTTGTGTGGTTGACACATGTGAGTAGTCATGTTTATCACACTGAAGAGAGAAGTTCTTGTGTGAATACCAGGTTCTGGGCACTCTGCTTAGGATTTAACATGCAATGTGTAAGTTGACCAAGACCTCTCTGCCAGTGATTTAATAAATGGTATACTATTTTTTCCCTAGGGACGCTTGTTTTATTTTCATCATTTATTCTCTTTCAGCTCTTCTTTATGCAACTATTTTTGGAAATGTTACCACAATTTTCCAGCAAATGTATGCCAACACCAACCGATACCACGAGATGCTGAATAACGTTCGGGACTTTCTGAAACTCTATCAGGTCCCCAAAGGCCTTAGTGAGCGAGTCATGGATTATATCGTCTCAACTTGGTCCATGTCAAAAGGCATTGACACGGAAAAGGTAGGAAATGCTATTTTTATTATTTAAAATTTTCTGCTTAAATTGGATCTTTGGATATGTGTAGGTCTCCTACAAACATGTCGCTTGTACAATTGCTTTCTAAATGTTACTCTATAAGTGACATTTCAATCAATCATACTTATTGAGTGCTTGGAAGGTGTAAAGCATTCAACCATTAATCATCAGTTAGTACTGGTCATAATACTCAATTTAGAAAATCCAGTTCCTGCAAAAAACTAATTTCCCAAAGCATTCACATTACCACTCACTGTAATTTCTTGCATTTTACTTAAACTCTCAGAGTGTTGTCATTTCTCCTGATGATTTTATTCTTGATTTTTCCTTCAACTTGTTAAAGATTGAAAATTAGAAATGTCCCTGGTATAAAAGAAATATGTATGTACCTTCTGTCCTATCCTCCACTTAAATTTCTCCTCTTTGTCTTACGTTTAATAATTAACTTTTAATTATTTTCCTTATGTATTTCTATGAAAATAAAACTTCCCTCTCCAAGTATGCAGCATCCATAATTTTTCCTTGATTATTTCATGAAACTGCTCTTCAGTTTTTCTACTTATCTCTTATTTGGGCAAAAGACAGACACAACATCTCTAATAATAAAGAAAGACAAATGAAAAAGTCTCACTTCCTGTATCTAGTTTGGTCCATATCAAACAAAAAGTAGGACTGCTTGTATGCAATGTTTGAAAGAAAGCCTGTCTTCAGCATTTTACTTTATAAATGTGAGTGGAATCTATTCTTTTTAGATAGTGATTTTTTAAAAGCATGATATTCAATCAAGTAGAACAATACCTTCCTTTATATCTCCTATAAATTTATTTTGTTTATACTTATAGAGTTGACTTTTCTTTTTGTTTCTTAGACCTGCCAAGTGTGTTTTAATCTCAAGAAAAACAGCGAATGACCAAAGCAGAGGTTTAGCTAGAGAAGTTTGATAAAACAAAAAGTAGTTTTACATCAGAGCAGGTACTGTTAGGCTCAGATGGCTGAGAGAAGGTGAAGGGAATGGGCATAGAACACAGGACGCGAGGAAGAAAAGCCTTCAGAGAAGTGGATATTAGATTTTCAAGTGTACTTCTGTGGGGAAATTGTAAAAGAGGATTATATCGACTCCTTTTCTGTGCATTACCAGATGCAGTATGAATTTTCTAGCTAAATGGCTTCTTAAGTTGTACTGATGGCCAGGAATTTAAAAAAAAAAAAAAAAACCCTCGCAAACTATGTTTCCGTGAAATTTGATCAATACATATCTGAGCCAATATATGATATGAGCAAGATTGAAAGAAGAAGTAGAACCTTCCTAGGGTGCAGGTGAGGGTGGGAGTTTAAGTCCTTAAATGCAGGATGTCCTTTGAAGTCCACGTTAAACTGAGACCAGGAAGCAGCTACCTGCCTTGTTGATCTCTGTCAGTAAGATGCTTTGCTTTGCAGGAAATGAAATGGGGTCTTAGGGCAGCTAACTGAGAGCCTCAGCAAAATGATGTAATAATGGCCTTTGGTATACTAGAAAAGAGTTTGGCCATGGGCTATGCCACATGTCTCTGTGTTACCTGGTGCTACATCAGTTCAGAATGTAGTTGACTGATTTCTGTGCAATCTAGTCAGATTTAATCAAGTCCAGAGCTGTTTAAAATATTAAATGGGATAAGTTTTAAAAAGAAAAAAATCAGGAATGTGTCTTCAGTGAGAAATTCTGAGTTTTGTTTTTGGGTCACTGAAAATCCTTTTATTCACACTGAGGATTAGTGAAGGTGCTGGTGACTGGCGCCGCGGCAGTAGTGGTGAACTCAGGGCACACGTTCCTCAGCGAGCTGTTTGTATCATGGAAAGCTCTAAAAGGTTTGCCATCACTGCTCTGTGGTATAATTCTGATTTGGGAAGCTGTATACGTGGATATAGGAATGTTTCCTGAAAACAGCTTGACTAGGACATAGTATGGATTTTATTAGCATAGCTCAGTCCTGTGTCTCTCCCCTTTTCTCTCTTTGTTCCTTCATTGGTATCATTTAATTTTATAACTTTGAGAATATATAGTAACAACACCCATATAAATATTCATCTTGGAACTTTTCTTTGAAATATAAACTCTTCTATCCATCTGCCTCATTTTGTATAATGAAATTATCCAAAATTAAGCCCTAACCATCTCATAAACTCTATTTCTATAGACATCATTCCCCAGAACAATTGATGGAAACTTCACCCTTCAGTTGCTTAGGACAAAGTGCCCTACATTTAATCTTCATCATATTTCTGTTTTCACCTCTAGTTCTTAGCTCCTCCATCGCTGTCCCCTGGCCTGTGTCACCATCATTTCTTATATGAGTTATGGAATTGATGGCTGGTTGATCTTTTCTTCTACGTTTGTTTCGTTTTAATCTATTGTCAAGGACCAGAGAACACATGCAGCTTTTGAAATAAAGCTTTACATGGGTCAGCTTTCTGTCACTGTGACAAAATGTTGGAGGAAAAAATACTTAAAGAGAGAAAGTTTATTTTGTCTCGGGATAACTGAGGTTTAGTCCATGGTTGACCAGCTCCGTTGTCTGGGGCCATGGCAAGGCAGAAACTGCATGTAGGAAGAGTGGACTACAGGAAAGTTGCTCTTTTTATGGCCAAGAAACAGAAGAAAAAGAAGACACTGGGCACACGATGTAACCTTCTTAGTTATGCAACCAGTGACCGCCTTCCCCCAGCTAGGCCAGCACCATCATCTGGGAACCAAGTATAATGCCCTTGGGAGACATCTGGAATCCAAACTATTACATCCTTTTGTCTATCTGTTGGTGTGTCTAATCATTCACCCATTCATCTTGGTTTAGGCATTTGACAAGAGTCAAATTCACTCAGACTGTTAAATATAAGTGTGGGTGTGATAAAATGAAACATTGCTGACAGTAATCATAGTCACAGTCTTAGAATTATGAATGTGCTGTACTTAGGATATGACTTTAGTAAACAATAATGAATTTTAACTGTTCAGTATTCAGTGTTAAGTTCTTCTGTTCATCAGAATGCCAAATACTTCAATGTATGTTTCCTATTGAGTTTAGTTCATGGGTTTTTTCAAATGTTTCATTCATAGAATTTATTCCCAAATTTAAATATGAGAAATATTTGAAATTTAGTGTCTGTTTTAATGCTTCTCTTGTGTATTAGGTCTAAAACAGTTATATAGTTTTTCCTTTCCATGTATAATAACATTTAATGCTGCAGTGCAGCTAATTAGAGAAAACCTTTGCCCAAATTACTGAGATTTCCTATTTTTCCACATATTTAGTTTTATAGATTTTTGAATTTCACCTTAACCCACAAGCAAATTAATCACTTTGATTTAATTCATTCTAATTGCCTTGTGTGAATAATGCTGTATAAAACAATTGTGGCATTAAAGTCTGTACTCCTCTGGAGATTGTATCATTTCTATAGTGAAAATTTGTTTTAGGCAATTTTTTTAATCGAACAGACCCTAGATTAGCTCTACTTAGTTGACAGCATTTTATTGATTATGAATTACTACAGTTTGCTTCAGATTCTTTCTGAATTTAATAAGCAAATCCATCCCCTGGGCTTTGCCTCTTGCTAATATTTTGTGCGCTTAAAAGACAGAAATGAGCGAGGTAAGTGAAAAGTTAAAAGAGGAAGAAGATATTTGGGGAAAAATTAGAAAGAATGATAGTTAAACCTCAGAAAAGCTGTTTTGCAGTTTGAAATAACTTTGATGGGAAATAATTAAAGTGAAATAAGTAGCTAGCAAATCTATCTTCAGATTTTGTGACCACATAAAAACCTATATAACGCTATCTATGTAGGCCACATTTCCCCCATCATATAGGGTTCTTTTTTTCTGAGCTTGTCTCATAGAATGAAGCCTAAAGTTTAGTATTTTTATTGCTCTTTTTAACCTTTCCTCCAACAAGTAGTTTAAAAAAAAAACATTTAGTGCAAAAAGCTCTTTGATCATTTTTTATTTTATCTGTTTTGTATAAATATTAAGTGTCAGTAGGAAGATGACAGTAAGTGAAATGTTCTAGGAGAATTAAAACATTCAGGGGGAATTATACATTTAGAATTTAAGCTAATTGATACTATGACTGTTTGAAACTTGAATTATTTTTTAATCAAATCTATCATAAATGCATTCAACTTCTAAGGAAAGTAAGATAATATATAAATATAACTTCAAGATACATGTGCATATCTATCTATATTTATAGCTGTATCTGTATCTATGTCTATGTCTATATTTGTATCTATATCTAATACACAAGCTAAAATAACTTTCATATATATTTTTTATTCTGGAAAATCTTGTAACATATTTATTTGTATTCCTAAATGTATAAAACAGAGATGATATTTTCATACAAGGCATCATTTACTTAGTTCAGATTTTTTCAGAAGGTCCCTAGGGTGATGTAGGATTGAACCCAAGAGCAAAGGCATTAGTCTTCTAAGTATAGTTCTGTTGACAAATCCTCTGTGTTAAATTTGTCTTGTCAGTATACTCATATGAATATAATAAAACAAAATTGCATTGCTCTAAAGATGCATTAAATGTAGGAAGGGGATCAAGAGATGAATGGAGAGGTTAAGGAGGGAGGAAAAGGAGGGAAGGGGAAGGGGATAAAGAAGGAATTAATATGTGTTACGTATGTGCACCAATGCCACACAGGGCATGTAAACATTATGTCTCATAAACGTGTACTGACAGAAAACAATCTGAAAAATACATAAAAGAATGTGTATTTGCTTTGAGATCAAAAAAGATGAGAATAATCCTAATGCAACATATGTTAATCAGATTATAGATGAAATATTGTGTTCTGCTTTGGGATGTATTATATTTTAAAGAAATATAATACAGAAGTAATATATTTACTAGAATATAATCATAATGGTTGGAAGTTCTGGAATTTTGTCAAATGATACATAGCTAAAGGAAATTGGAAAATGTAGTTTGGCTAAAAGAAGAACTG